GTGAATGCAGACACTGAGTAAGGAGGGTTAAGTGTCTTGCCCAAGGACACAACAACAGCATTCATCCGTAGAAGCTGGAATTGCTCTGCCAACATGTGATGTTAATGTCAAGACCGGGATTCTAACCACCAACCTTCTGATTAGTGTACAAACGCTCTAACCAACTGAGCTTCTGTCGCCAGTGGATACTAACTTTTACTTTACTACATTTGAGAGCAGGTATCTGTACTTCACTACATTTTTAAACTCAACTGAGAAGTAAAAGTATTTTTTATTGTAGTTTGAGACCAGTTAAAAAGACTGATGGTTTATTTTTAATATGCTCATAGTTTCACCAAAAAAATAAATAAAATAAACAAATAAAAACAGCTATGGTCAATTCAGTTGTTTCTGTTGACCAAAATTCAGCCCAAATCTTTATCAAAAACTTTATTAGACCTCAAAATCTGTGTGAAATACTTTTACTTTTTGCTCTTTAAGTACATTTTTAAACTGCTACTCTATTACTTTCACTTGCATAGATTTTTGTCATGTCATACTTTTAATTTTACTTAAACTGAGTACTTCTTCTGCCGCTAGTTAAATGAAGTTGCCATGGGTTACATAGAGCGAACTGACTCAGGTCCACTCTTCTCTGTTCCTTCACTGTCATTATATTCCACACAAGAATACAAACAGGAGAATGGACTGTGTGTAGGCAGTACGTCGTGCCCTGTGCTGTGATCGTATCATTAAATGTGCTAAATGCTAACGTTATTTAAAGTTCACGACAGACCGAGGCAGAGACCGAGGCAGAGGAGACGTGTGGGTGTGAAAACAGCGCAACAACTAATGACATCAACTAAAGTGTTATGGTTTTGAAATTTAAATCACACAACAGCTAATTTACACGTTTAAAAGTTGTATTGTTTGCAAGTTGGATGGTAGACGACAGAAGTTTAATTGTGATTTTGATGAAACAGGAAATAGAGTAATATAATTGGAAAAACTATTTTTGAAAATCTGTTAGGACAATTAAACTTCATGCATAGTCTATGTAAGAGAATTTAAGTAATTTATCCTCCACATACATCTTTCAGTTTAACATTGACCCACAGGAGCTATAGTAACACGATTATCTTCCCTTGGCAAAACATTGGCAAACCATTATCTAAATTGTGGCATATTACACTGAAAAAAACAACTTCTGGGGCTAGTAAAATCTAAATTAACTAGGGTAATTTTTACACTTAAATAACATAATTCTGTGAGAAATACAACTTATTTAATAGCAATGAACAAAATGTAATTATTTTACTCATGTAGTCAAAGTATTGTATTTCATGAGTAAGTTCTACTCTATAATCACCAGTATGTTTGAAAGGTTTTTACAGTCGCTACTCCCAAACCCACAAATACTAATACCAAGATCCTTCTAGATAAGTCCCTGCACTTGCCAGCTACGTATCTGGGGCTGGGGCAACAGCAGCTCAGTTGGTAGAGCGTTTGTCCACTGATCCAAAGGATGGCGGTTTGAATCCTGCTCTTGACATAAAAAAAAAAAAAAAAAAAAAACATCACTGGTTGTGCGATCAGATCCACTGACCCACTCACCTGAAACCTGAAGCGATGTGCAGTAGTTTTATTAGTGGGGTGTACGCACACTGTGGGGAGAGACTTAGCATGGAGAGCAAAAGGAAGGGGGACTCAGAGCATCAAAAGCGAAACATGTTAATACATTGTTTTCTGCAAATGTCAAATTTTCTATACAATCAAAGGTAACATGGTGATCTAAATACTGTATGTGTAGCAGTTAATACCCCTTAGAAAAGTAATACCCTCTGTAACCCTGGTTGTTAAATCCACTGGTGGAAAGTAATGACGTAAAAGTAGTAAAGTACTGTACTTAAGTATAGGTTTTAGGTAACTGTACTTCACTGAATTACAATTTAAATTGGGTCATATTTTATGACTGGTGGTGTGATTCCATCTCCCACAGATGAATACTGTTGTTGTGTCCTTGGGCAAGACACTTAACCTACCGCACCCCCAGTGTCTGCATGGTGTGTGAGTGTGTGTGTGAATGGGTGAGTGGTTTCTTGTTGTAAAGCGCTTTGAGCCTTGAAGGTGGAAAAGTACATTATACATTATACATCAATAAATACTAGATATATATTTAATTAATTATTTCATCATAGCAATGCAATTAATTATGACAATATTTTATATATTTAACTAACATTTTCTGTTGTTCACGATGTGTACGTATTTTGATTAGATTTTAATACGATTTTAGTTTCTCTCTTGGCATAAACTCAAAATAAAAATCAATCAGTCAATCAAATTTATTTACATGAATATGACTTCTAACTTTTAAAAAATTGAGTAACAATTACTCAGTAAATTCATGACTGTTAATCATGATAGTAATTGCATTTTACTTCACACTGACAATTAGATTGCACCTGATATTACAGCAGTAAATTTACTTAAAAAGTGCTAGTGCAAATTTTTACAAGGATTTTTTCTAATAAATATTACAAGTAATTTTTTTCAGTGTACTGACCTTCATAGTCTCACCACACTTGCTTTATAAACCTCCTCCTCTGGAAGCGGAGTCAAGGGGCTTCAACACTCAAAGATCATACTATGTTCACTTTTTTCCTGCTTAAGACGTCCAGTTGGCCTCCAGCCTTTTACTTCCACACTTTCTTGGACAAGCTGAAAACTTCTTTCACAGACTGTCAGTGTTTTTTTGTGGTCAGGGTTGTCAAAATTTAAAAAATCTAAAATAAAATACTAATCAATACTAAAACTAATATTGAAACTAGATACTCATTTTTGCAGGTATTGATACTAAAAATGTCACATTCACAGGACAGAAATGAACTTTTCCTGAATATCTTTAGAATTATATTGAACTGTATGGAATGTTTCACAGTGTGGCATTAAACGTTCTATCTTCACGGAGACTAAACCAGATCAAGTTACAGGTCAGATCCATACAGAGGCGACCCCGCTCACAGTCAGAATGTCTGATTTGTAGGTATTTTTGAGCTATAAAACCACCTGTAATTGAACAAATGTATGTTGTGCTGTTTAATGTCATACTGTGGAACATTCCAGGCAGAGCAATGACATATCCATACACAGACAAAATAAGAAAATAATCCATGAACCATACTAGAAAGTGAATGTATGGACTTGACAGCGCTCCAATGGGGAAAAGCGTCTCTGCCTATACAAGCCCTCCCCTTTAAATGCACATTCCCAGACAGGCCTTTGTCAGGGGTTGGTTCCACTTCATGGTGTGTGGACATTTGAACACCAGCTACGTTTTAGTATGGGGACGTGTGTCGGCCATTTTGTGTCTAAGTGTGCGTTTTTGATTGTGTATTCTTACTGGAGCATGGAAAAAGTGTCCCGTCCTCTCTTGTGGGGTGTGCTACCTGTCTGGATGTGTTGGAGAACGGTATTCCCCTGGTACACAGTCACTCTTAAAGGTATGTCAGACGAAGCAGCGGGAGGATTCTTTGACTTCACTTCACACCGAGGAACAGAGCAGAGATGTACTTTGGTCTGCTTCTTGACTAGACTGAAAAGTGTGTGCAACTTTGTGAATAAGTTGGACTAAGTTGTGGTTTTGATCCAAAGTACCAAGGGATTGTGAAGTTAGAGAAAAGTTTTAGATCGATCAAAGTTTCTTGGAAGGAATACAAATTAAGCAAGTTTAGCTGTACTGTAAAGTGCAGGGATTAGGACTTAAAGGTGCTCAGTGTAACTTTTCTAGTGAATAATAATGCATCAGTTTTATATAGAGTTTTTGTGGACACTCAAAGACGCTTTACAGAGCATTATTCATTCCCTCCACACTTAGTGGGGTAAGCTACTATTGGAGCCACAGTTTCCCTGGGGCAGACTCACTCACACACACACCACTTTCATACTAGACAATGTGGGTGAAGTGCCTTGCCTAAGGACACATTGACAGTTTTTGCCTGTGGCACCCGATTTTCCCAGTCGTCTCCCATCAAAGTACAAGTACTAACCGGGCCGGCCTTGTTGAGCTTCTGAGATCTGAAAAGATCAGGCTTTGACAAGTTGGTATGGCCACATATTATGCAATGTTATGGCTTTGTCTAATCAAACGTGGTTAAAGTTAACATGGCATAAACATCTAGATGGAAATTAATTATTGGTGGAGTTGTACTGTCTACCCTCACCTCCATGATTTTGTCCTTTTGGTCATGAGCCTTGGGAATGACTAAAAGGACAAGATCGTGGACACAGGTGGTCCTCATGAATTTCTGGTTGGGAGTTCCCTTATAGATAGGGTGAGGAGCTGTTGTCCTCAGTGGGAGCTCAGAGTAGAGCCGCTGTTCCTCCACTTGGAGAGGAGCAGCCGATGGGAGGACATCTATTCAACATCTGCCTCTTAAACGCCTTCCTGGAGAGGTGTTCCTGTCCCACTTGGAGCTGGCTTGGGAAAGCCTTGAATCCCGCTAGAGGAGTTGGGGTGAGAAAAGTCTGGGTCTCGATGTTGAGATTGCTGCCCCCGTGACCCAGTCCCAGATAAAGCGGGAGAAAATGGGGAAATATCTATGTTCACAATTATCAGTAAACAGAATATTCATACTACCCCTTGTCATGTCTGTATAATCCCAGGTCGTCCAGCTAGGATCCAGAGCAAAAGAAAAATTCATTTCTGTCAACTGGACAAAACTTTCTTTGTGAAGATATTTCACAGCTCATTCAAGCAGCTTCTTCAAACTTTTGTCCAGCTGACAGAATACAATTTTTCTTTTGCTATCCCACTTCGTCTTAAAAAAGTTCTCAAAAAAACTCAGAAAAGTCAGTACCACTGTACTTTGAGAAAACTCGCACATATTAAATAAGAGATTCCTGACAAACATCACTTCTCTCATTGATATGCTTTAACTCATACACCAACACGCCAAACAGCCAGCTCAACATTTAAAACCACATCTCCATTGCTTTAGTTAAATCACAGATGTACTCACTAGATCTGAGAGCGGAGGGCGTGACCTCGATCTCGCTGTGGGCCTGGTAGGGCTGGAAGGCCGAGGCCGAGTTCAGGTCCACGGGGAAGGGCTCTGGACTCTGGGTACCCGAGCTGGCGCTGGTCCCATCTCCTCCGTTATGAGGGTCCTGCTCTTCGTATACTGCCACCAACTGGAGACGAGACAGAACTACAGGTTACTACATTGCACATTATTAAAGCATAAGCATATAAAAGCATATTCATTTAGTTCATATTTACTTCCCTTCTTGTTACAGTCAGCCAATAAAGTTCACTCTCTTCCTTGTTTTGCCATTAGAATCAACGTCACAACTGTCTATCCAATCTTAACCACAGCAGAACTATGAGTCTCCTCAACCTCTCCATCTTCTCTTCTTCACCACCAATACTGTACGGGAAACATACTTCAGAAATCTCTCATTCTTTATGTCACTGCGGAAGGTAAATTGCTCTTGGTACAGAACATCTATCTGTAAGCATCACGTCTAGGGCTGGATATCATATCTCAGATTCGATATGGTTCACTAAAAAATAAAGCTAAATCATGGCTGTGATACTAAAAGTCTTTGTTAAACCACTTCTTGTGCAAAGTTCATATGAAACACAAACATTTTAATCATCAAAACAGTGAAAATGCCAAATGTGTCGCATAAACGAGTTTCCATCCTCTAAACAAGCAACAAAACGATTTATAAAACACAAAAAAATTCTCTTGGTGATATATCGATACAGCAGCCCACGATATCGATACTGTATCATCACATTAAGCGATACGATATAGCGATTTTTCTGTATTTTTGCACACCCCCAATCACGTCACCATTTCAACTTTCTTTATTTCCCAACCTTTACCAGCAGAGGGCCCTGTGTTTCTGTACTTATATTTATAGTACATTATACCACTTAGAACAACAGTGGCTTAGGTGGTAGAGCATCTACCCTATAACCAGCAGTTTTGAGGTTGAACTCTCACTCCAAATAGGTCACACTATTGTTGTGTCCTTGGGCAAGACTCTGCATCCATACCTGCATGTTTGGTGGTTGTAGATGTTGTTGGCACAGATTGTAGCTGATATATTCCCATGTATTTGAACACAATGTCTTGCCCCAATACAGATAGTATATTGTATTCTTGAGGTCAAAGTGCACGTTAGCATGCTAGTTGTTGTTTTAATGTCACAGCAAAACTCTGCACTGGTCTCATAGTTGTGAAAAGTGCTTATAAACTCATCATGCTGCATCATTAAGAATAAGTAAGTGAGGAATAACTTTGGACCACTTAAGTATTTTTTTATGTTTTCTCGACAGTAAAACCCAGACACAGTGCTTTTAAATCAAGCAGGTTTGAGTATTCTAAAGTATTCCCTTATTAAGTATCTCATAATGAACTCATTTAGGTACACATCTTTGCTTCCGTCCCCGCGGTGTAATTGTTAAACATGTGTAATCTTGTAGCGGGGCACGGGGGTTGCCAGGTTGGGTTCCCGCTGAGACGACTTGCTCCACTTTAGCAGAGGTGATATGCACACACTGTCCCCGTAGGTAGATAAGGATTACAGCTCCTCAGCACTGGCACAGGGCACATAAGAGGTACACGGTGTGAATACTGTGGGACAATACTGCAGTAATGTTCTGCCTGTGTATTGGGAGCTCACTTGAAAAATGAGTCAACAGACAATAACAATATCATTTACAATAAAGATGAACTATAACTTTGGTCTGGAATGTTTCACAGTATGACATCATAGACTGTATAAAGAAATGGAAAGGAGTGATGTGTGTGACGTAACGTTCAGCTCCAGTCAAATGAAGCTCACCAAGGCTTGCAGTTATAGGAGTGTATTTGGAGCCAATTCCATATTGGTATCGTATTTTCCAGACTATAAGTTACCCCAGAGTATAAATCGCAAAAGCCAAAAAATGCATAATGAAAAAGAAAAAAACATAAAAGTTGCACTGGACTAGAAGTCGCATTTTTTGGGGAAAATGTATTTTATAAAATCAGAGACCAAGAACAGACAATTCATCTTGAAAGGCAAGTTACAGTAATAACAAAAGAATAGAGAAAAACAGGCTGAGCAGACGTCTTGTATGTTAACGTAACAGTTCTTCAGATAACTATAGCTTAAACAACAGAACAAGTTTACCAAACTCTCCATCTCACTCCAAATCATTAAATCCATTCAATTCTTCATCCTTGGTGTCACTTCAGAGCAACTCTGCCAGCTCTTGCTAAATCTAGTTTTTAGCCCATGATGAGCTTTTGTTTTTTTCATTGCAGTTCGAGTATCCTCCGCGTTTCGCCTGTTCCTCACAAGTTTCTCGCTCACTCCAAACTTTCTTTTTGCTGCTCGATTACTGTTTTTGGCTGCATATTTCAATACTTGCAGCTTGTAATCTGCAGAATATGATTAATAGTTTACCCGTCAGTGTTAAATGCAGGTGAGTGCGTAAATGACAAGAAGAAATGTCTTTAACTTCAGTAGCTGGACATCCACTCAGACCTGATTGATACTACTAGCCCTGCCCCCAGCCCAGGAGAGCCTGAAATCTGTTGAAATCCTACAAGACTCTGGCATGATACAGACAGGACAGAGGCTCTTTCTGAAGGAGACATGTGCAGTAGAGCGAAGTAACAGTGGTACAGGAGGAACAGGGGCAGCAGATACTGACACACAAGACTAGAGCCTCTCACGGCTTCATTGTGAAAGTCGTGTTTGAATAGTCGCACCTGAGTATAAGTCGCAGGACCACCCAAACCATGAAGAAAAGTGTGACGTATAGTCTGAAAAATGCCATATTAGGAACTGATTTACAGACAAAATGGTGAAATAAAAACACAAGGATTATATAGAGTAGGTCAATGCTAACATTTTAAGACCAACATGAGGATCCTGACAGCAGCAGTTACAGAGATGGACAATATTTTTTCAATACAAAGAGAGTTGGAGCCAGAGTTGATGGAGCCGGAAGCATGCCTATGCTCACTTCCTATTTGGAACACAGCAGCTAGCAGGTTAGCTATGTCCATTTATATATTCCATGGGCATTGTAATTCTCTATCTCTAATTTATTCAATTTATGAGTCTTATTGCTGTGAAAAACACATTAAAAACATGAGCAACAACACTGCAAACTGTGAGTGGGCTCGCCTCTCCACAGACAACTTAGCCTGGTGGACTCCTGCTCGTCTCCATGGAGATAGACAGTTTAGTTTAATGGGGTGCATAGAGGCATCCCCGCAGAAAGCTAGAGGAACTGTGATTAGCCCCAAGCAAACTTTCAAACTTTTCTTTTTTTCTTTGTTCCTTTTTTATTATTTGAAAGTCTGAGGAAACAAACTGGGAAATAAACTTGAAGTGACGAGGAGGTGCTTGTTTCTATGGATACGTCATTGCTTCAAATGTTCCACAGTATGAGTTTAAACAGCTCTACCTTACATTTATTCAATTACAGGTGATTTTACAGCTCAAAAACTCAATGAAGATAAAAAAAAAAGTTGTGAGATATATTGTAAAACATGTCAGACAAAGCCATAACATCTCCATGGAGAAAAGCATTTGGCAGACCCTTCCACCAGAAAAGTTACATAATGCTTACCAATCAGACTTTAAGAGATGAAGATAAAGACTGAAACTGTATCGTTTCAAGAAATAACAAAATAAAAGTAACAGGATGATGAGTTAAGATTAGATTAGATAGATTTATACTTTATTATCAAGAGTGGGAGTTTGGTTTTAGAAAAAAAAGGCTCCTGCTGGAAGGAATGTTTTGGGATTTATTGCTGTTTCAATAAATGACAACTTTAAAAAAAAATGCTAAATTTCTGTTGTACTTGGAGTTTTTTTGTTTTTTTTTAGATAATTTGGTGTGTTATTTGTACATACTTAACTTCTTCACTTGGGCTTAAAACAGTGAGCAAACCTGCTGTGAAGCTTTTTTGAGTTGATGGTGCCAACAAGAGTTGATCAGAAATAATCATCTTGGATCAGCTAGTATTAATGACTTCACCAAACAGCAAATAAAACACTGGCTGGACTTTAAATTGATTTTTGTGTGAACTAAAATTCACATATTTTGTAAAAACAAAAAGGAAAAATTTGTTGACCGCAAGAAATGATTAACTTATCGACTCTTGTTGGCATCGTCAACTCAAAAAAGCTTCACAGCAGGTTTGCTCACTATTTTAAGTTGAGTCAACTTTTCATTTTTTAACAGTGTAAGAGTGGTATGTGCGATGGAAGGTTAATTCGCCATGTTCGTTTTGGTATTTTAGATTTTATTGTTGCCATAGGGACAGGGATGGGATATAGTGAAGTACATTTTACAGCATCTCTTCTGTAAAGTGCCTACATTACACAAAATTGAGTCTTGTGAGCTTTTAGCCATGTTAGAATGTTGTTGCATCATCAAAAACATCCTTGGAGGTGTGTTTTGTTTCATTCACACATGTTTAAGTAACCCTTTGTTATTCGTCTGTCTAAATCGCCAAAGCTGAAAATGCTGTGTTCCACCTTGTGATGTCATGAAGCTGTAGTTTTACCTTTTACCTTTTGTTCTGTTAGGGCAAATAACCATGCTTAGGTGGTGTATAATTGCTGTTATGATGTAACTGATGTGCTGCTATACAGTTATTGATGTACTGCTATATTTTATTATTGTACTATTAGAAGTCACTATACAAAGAAACAGGAAACACGGACTAGATTACAGCTGAGGGATGCAAAGATAGATTTATTTCATGTACAAGATATTCTATTTCTATCTATATGTCTAATCAATTAACTAAAAAGGGCAAGGACTTAATAATAGGGATATGCTGACTCACGACTCATCACCCTGATCAGACCAGCAAGACGCTCCTGTAAGGGGAGTAGGATGAATCCGGGGGATCCTTGTCACAATCGGATATGATTGTGCAATATGCCAAGAGGCCTGGCTGGTCTGTGCACCAACGAAGAGGCACTACGTCTAAACCAAGGTCGCCTCCCACTATAGTTTGCGAATAAAAATCATTGTATAGACGTAAACATTGAGTCTCTGCATGGGAATGTCAGCACAGACTCATTGTACAAGTATGACTTTCTAATGTTTCAAGTGTAATTTTTTATCTAAGCACATGAGTCGAACACGAGAGGAAAAGGTTGTTTTC